GCGTGGGAACGTGAGTGTGATTGGGTTATCCTTGCGCTTGTGCTTCCCACTCCGACAATCAGCGACGAAGTCGTAAACGGATCGAGTAGGAAGAAAATGGAAACGTTCTGATTCTTCTGACCCCGATTCCGTCGACCTTAATACAACTCCGCTTACGACTCCGCAGGGGAAGTCGCCTAAAAAGAGGAGAGGGACTGGGGAGAGAGGGAAAGGTTCCCAGATCCTGTTCCTTCGCTCTTTCGCTTTTTTCTCTTCTACCCCTCCCCCTCCCATTTATGCTCCTGCCACCTGGGCTAGTCTTACCCTTAAATGTTACTCTGCTATCTTTCATAACAAAGAAAACAAGGCCCTGCGGTCTAAAATAACACTTAATCCAGACAGTACTGAAAAATAATGCAAATAAAGTTTCAGTGAAAAATAAGTAAGAACGACCTAAATACAGTTGAACCTCCAAGTGCGACCATCTCTCGTAAGCTACCACCTCCCATAAGCGACTACTTATCCAAAATCCCAAACTTTTTCCATTTTATTGTGAAAAATATATCAAAGACTTCCAAAGTTTGCAAAGTAGATTTATCTGTTGAGACGACAGCCATCTTCGCCTACCAACAAGTTTCTCGTGGGAGTTTCGCCAGCAAAACGTAAATATCGTAACTAAAACCCAAACCATAGTCTAATTCCTGGACTTCTTACGAACATTTGTGCAAGTTATACATCAATCTAATCCAAATGCCTTTCATATTGTTAAACCATTCAGAACAGATAGCTTTTTACACTATTATTGATTTTAATTTTATGGCACTTTTTTGGGTTGCGAACTATTTATAACAAGATAAATAACAATGATGAAATAAGAATCATGAATGGTTTTGTCGCGGCTTAATAAGAATAGCGCTTTTCACAAAGGCAGACGTTTAAGTGGTACTCTCTCATCATCATCATCATCATCATCACTTTTATCATCATTATATCATCCCTTTTAGGCTGTGGGGTCGATGAAAACTTCTACAAGGTGGATTGAGGACGAGGCATTTTTCCTCTTTTTTCGTCCCTACCGCGGGGCATTTGGCAGCTCAAGTGTCTCAGCCCCCCAGTCCCTGATGCCCGAGGGTTAGCCCGGGGGCAGATGGGCGCAGTTGGATTTGATTCACTTCTTGGGCTGATGCAATAACCCATTACGTAGGCTTGAAAACTCTTTGGTCTTTGTTCCCATTGATTGTCAACTAATATTTAACATTGCACTGTCACACCATGCTCAAACAAAACTAGACGATTGTGGTGTGTTTGTGACCTCCCGATAAAAGCTTTTGTTGTGCCACACGTTAAGAGAATTTTGCAGTTAATCACAACTCAAACTTTTTTTGTCAAACTTTGATTTTTGGATAGTATTTTAGTAACTGTTTGAGTTGTCTGTATATATATCGAGTTGATATGAATGTTCGCGGAAAGTTTAGAGAATAAGTGGGCCTCTCATTTGGACTGTTTATCTTGTTGTGCTAAAACAGAGGAAAACTCTACCAGGTTAACTTTGTTTTCACTACAGTAGCATTGTTTTGCAACGTAGTTGCGCGAGTCGCCATGGCGCGTTGCAACCGAGAGGTGAGGTTTGAAGTAGTGTAAAACGCCACTACCGTAAAGTTCCCATAGTAGCGACCCTCGTTATACTATCAGAATTAGCAGCCTTTGGGGCTCGTTACTTTCGGAGTGTCGTTACTCTCGGGAGGACGTTATTTTAAAACCATGAAACAAAGTAAGCGCTAGCTCTTTCTCGAAATGAAAAATAAACAACGTAATATTAAAAAAAAACATTCTATTTCTGTTATATGGTATGTGTAACAGAGATACCTATGTACTAAATACAGCAATACTCTGATAAAAAACGAAATCAAGTGAAATCAACATCGATGGTCCACCGGGCCATCGAGGGTGAATCATCAGCCGATGTAGGGGAAATCGAATTCTTTTCTGACACAGGGGAGAAAAGCTAAACTCGGTGCTTTTAGTTCATGATAAACAAAATGAAAAGCGTGCAGAGTATATATACAGAAGTTTCAGTTTTAACTTGAAGAAACGTTCCCGTTGTTGATATGAGGTCATATGAACTCAATATATCAGTTTTTTACAGTGTGTAATCTGTGAACTGACGACGAATGATAGTTTCCAGGGGCACCCAACGAACATTTTTCTGAAAATGAGCCGTTAACTACAGAAAACGAAAATTTAGATGCTTTTCAGGCATTTTCAAGCGCTTTTCTGTGTTGCTGGAAAGAATTTATCTGTTCCTCACTCCCAGCAGGTTAGATAGCTATTCTCCCAGCCAGCAGAGCGGCCTTCTCCATGTTTACCAGCCAGCAGAAAAAAAAAAAACTGTATTCAAATAAGCGCCGCAGGGTTGCTTGGAAATTGCGGCGCTGATTCGAGTATATACGGTCAAAATAAATAACACACAGCCTTATCTCTCGCTTGTCAACCAAGAATAACAACAACTACAATGGTAATGAAAAAGGAACGTCACTAAGCCTTCCCTAGACGTACCTTTTGTGAATCCTATTCAGTCCAACTTGAACATAATACATCAGGCTGTTTAATAGCGTCCTTACCTTTTGCATAAACATGAATCTCATGAATCGTCCTAACCGCCAGTGAACCGTTGCCAGTTATCCAGTGGCGGAGCGTAGCCTGATTTCGAATTTCTAACAACGGTGCCCACGTGCAGATTTTTTGATCAGCGGTAAATAAATAATCAGCGCGTGGCTCAGCGCGCACAATTCGCGCACCTAGAGGAGCCACCTGAGAGGAGCCGATTACTCCTGATACCCAGCTGGATATAGACCCAAGAAAAATTTCTAACAAATTAGAGGGATAAAATATCTCCAGCAAGAATTTTTGATACATTTGATAAATTCTTGACCGCAGATTTAAGACTTTACTTCCCAGCCGAGCCGAAACCTCAGTTCCCAGCCAGCAAAATTTTCTCTGTAGAACAGATATTGTGAGGAACAGATCCGTTGGGTGCCCCTGAGTTTCAGGCATGCCATGTTTCCCGCCTTGTTGTAAAGCAGGAGGATGTGCTCCCGTGTAAACTGCCTCATTATCGTGATAAATTTGTAAATTCACGAGGATATTTAGTATTGTCAACAGACTATAAAGGGGACAGAGAGGGCATCCCCCATATACACCCTATTCCATAGGTAATTCGTCTCGAGTTATTTTTAGAATCGGGATAAAGTTACCTCGCGCGAGGCGTGGATGTTTCGTGGAGGTTTCGCATGACCAAACGCCGTGCAAAACATGTCGGGCAAGAGGCAATGAAAGCGTAAAAAGATCGAGAGCATTCCTGAATATTGAAGCGAAATGAGTCGGCGCTCACCTGGGAAAAAGGAATCGCTGGACTCTTTGACAACCCGTGAAATCAGTTTAATTCGAAGTTGTCGTAACCTCAGTGCTTTAATAAAATGAGAAATTTCGCCGGTCTATTGAAATCGGTCGTTTGTACAATTTAGGGAGTTTAAGATCCAACGACGCGGACGACAACTAGAACGTCAAAAAAAACAGTAGGTTTAATTAGCAAAAAAACAACTTCGCACGTGCAACACACTTTTTTGTTCATTTCTTTCCCGTTTTTGCACGACTACGACGTGAAAATGCCTAATTTCGCGTTTTAAGGACAACGTAAATAATCAACGACGAAATTTTATTTCTCTTTCTGAGCTTGAATATGGTCCCTTGAAATTCAGCTTTAGGAGGGTTCGCCTACAATTGACAAAGTAAGTGGGTAGGAATAATCGCTATAAAGACTGAAAAAAATAAACATCAAACCAGAAATTGCTCTCTTCAAACTGTAAATTATAAATGATCCTGAGAGAATATTCAGTGTGTTAAGGATTTCCCTGCTCTACTATTAACTCTATACAAGAGAGGAAGGGCGATTCTTTTTTAAATTCGGTTTCGCTGACACAGCTTTCGCAGAAATCTGGCTGTAGTCGTTTTCGTCGACAAAAAGAATAGCAAAATCGCTCTCCGCGTCTTCCCCTATTTTGTTCTGCGTCATTTCGTGAAGGACGCGTGGCTCTCAGCGTGGGTCATCCACGCGGAACACATTTGCGCTATGTGATTGGCTGTTGTCTAATCCCCCTTGAGATCTGTGGTGTTAAAAATAACTCGAGACGAATTACCTATGGAATAGGGTGTATATGGGGGATGCCCTCTCTGTCCCCTTTATAGTCTCTTGGTATTGTGCATTAAAAATTTGACTGTGGATTGCAATTGGAAAACAATAAAGGCATTTGGTAAGTTAAGTGAGCGTAATTAAAAAAGACTTCGTCTCAATACTTTTTGGGCACTCGCTACTTTCGGCGGGGGTGGGGGCGCTACTTTCGGGGGCCCGCTCGGGAGAAAAAGTCCTACACAAGCTTTTGACGTTACTTTCGGGGGCCGGACGCTTCTCTGGGAACTATACGGTATATCCCTATATATCAAGCTATTTTTTAGTTAAGTTATGTAAAATTCATCCTGCTTCAACATATCTAATTAAGAATTACGGTTGATTAGTTTTGAGCTGTTGTAGACGAAGCGAGGAATGACGCCTTTAGCTGCTGGATGAGGCATTGCGCATTCCGACTTTCAAATTGAACTCAAAGGTCCCTCAAAGTTAATTTGGCATTATTTGACCAACAAGTTTGACTTATCGGTATACAGACAAGAACATAAGAAAGTGTTTATCAATATCGTTCTGAAACAAATTTACTTATTTCACTCTGTAGACTGAAATTACAAAAACAAAATAGGATTTCCGGTCTGCAAAAAGGAAACGGGAAGCTAAACCGGAAGTGCGAAAAGAGCGCTCTTACCAGTCCTACTCCGCATCACACATTGAGGAGTGCTCGTTTCATCCAGAAACTGTGAGTCATCGTTTTGGTGTTTTTGTAATAGTTTAAACCATTTTCCCAGACGCGATCTCAAATTTGAAGCCGCATGTGTGCTTAATACTCCTCTTAAGTATGTGGACCACAAATATTTGTTATGAAAGAAAAAAATTGTTCATAGCAATCGCAATCTCAGTTTTGATATTTATTTTCCTGCTCCTGCTGAGAGCGTCAGCAGGTGGACGGGGAGTTTCAGAAAGAGCTAGGCAACATTTTAACTACTGGTTCCAGAAAACTGTGTTCAAACACAACTGGGAGGACATCCACTGCCGCAGAAAACATGATAATGAAACGATTGTGGAAGAAAGCTGGATTCCTGAATTGGCAAAACAATTAAATTTAGATGCCGAAGACGCCTCTGTGTTTGATAGTAACACTGGATGCAATGAGTGGCTAAAACTCATTAGGAAACAGTATCCAAAGATGAAAATTGGAGGTGCCCATGCCAATCAGTATGCCGTGGAATATGCCAAGAGGTTATTTAATGATACGCCAGAAACATTTGGAACTATCGGCCCTGATGGAAGACTAAACTTCTTGAAGGATGGTTTGCAGTTTGCACATGCTATTAACTATGGAGGGCTTAAAGATCTGGGGAATAAAGAGATGCAGTGCAATCTGGTTAGAGAACTCTTACGAATATTGAAACCTGGTGGTTCGTTGTACCTTGGTCACAACATAGAGGAAAATGAGTGTCGTGTACTGAATAAATATGCAAGTGTCGCTCTTCCAGGTTGTTATTGGTCAGAGACTTGTCTGAAGTATCGTACTGATATTGCAGAAATCTACTACATCAGAGAAAAAGACCTTTTTGGAGACCATTCAAAAATCGACGACTGTTACACGGCAGTGTTCATTCATAAGAAAGTGATAATTTCAAAGGGGACAGATGGGCATGAAAATCCTCCACCTAAATATGAACCACACAAGAGAATGTATTACTGTACCTCGGAGCAGCCTGCAGTTTCTGGAAAAATAGCGGACAAATTTCAAGAACTAACCAAGCATGTGTTAAAATCAGATGTTGTGTTCCCAGGAAACTTATATCAGGGGTATAAAAGGGCTAAAACCTTGCATAGTTTAAGGAAAAATGTATCAGAGTCTGGCACCTCTAACTAAATTAAGGTAACTGTGGCCAGGGGGGAGGGGGGGGGGAGGGGACTGGGTTTGGAAATGGAAAGCCATAAATCGCTTATTTTAAGAATGGGAGAAAGGGAGTGGGATTATTGAGGAAACATTTTTACCACTAGAATTGGGATTTGAGGAAACTGAGAATTAAAAAAAAATGTATTTCTGAGAATCAGTGGTCTATGACCGGGAGCAAGCACTTCCACACTCTCTAGGCCTATGTCACAGCATTTTTGTGACTTTTTCTTCTTTAAAAAAAGAGTATGTTTAAAGACCTCTTTAAAACATCTATTTTTTCTTTGTATGTCAATGAATCAAATTAATGTAAGCAGGCATTAATGAGAATTTTCCTGTTGTAGCATAAATTTTGATACAAAGCCTCTGCCCTAAGAAAAAGGTAAGCTCTTTATCTTACATGCCAAGTGAATGCAATTCTTTTGCAAAAACTAAGAATTTGTTGTCTCCCCAAAGGTGAAAGCAAATCACCAGGCTCCACCAGCATACCCATATGCTTGAGTCAAGCCACATAGCCTTGTGTACAGATGTCAAATTTCACTTTGACAATACTTATTAACTGTGTTGAAACAATTAGCACTATAGCATGGAGGAGTGTACATGTGTTTTAGAATATATCCATTTTTTAATGAGTTGTGACAAAAGTTTGTCTTTCATGGTCTATATTAGTATGTATAAATATGTGCACAGAATAAACCTCTTGCAATGAATGTGTTGTGGCCCTTTCTTTTATCTTTTATATGGGCAATTTATTGGTATTTTTCATTCTTTCACATTCGAACCGTAAAAGGGGCAGAGTCCAACATCTTCACATGAAAACTGCGTGCAGGACAGTTATTTCTTAAAATGCTTGGGTTAGTTAGGCCATCTCCACGTGTATCTAGATATTTTTGAATCTGCAACTTTTCAAAAATTTCCACGTCTACACGTATCCGGATATTTTTGAATCTGCAAATTTTTCTTAGCCTGCGTGGCATGACGGTTTTGATGGAGCGCGCAAACAAGCCAAGGTAAGGGAAGTGAAACTGCGAGGAGATTTTGAGTTGTACTCACAATAAGAAACAAAAGTACAACTCAAAATCTTAAACGTCAACAAAGCGGCTTCCAAATGGCTCTAGAAGCAAAGAGACAGTAAATAACAAGACAAAACCACGAGTTGATTCATTTTTATTTCTTTTATGTCAAAAAGTGGAATTGAGGACATATTTTACATATTTTCATACATTCTCTGAAATTAATTAAAAAGTCTTACAAACTCCAACAGAGTCTGGGTAGCCTGTGGGGATCCCGGGGTCACAATACTGGGATCCCAGCCCTCCCAGCTAACCAAGCTGGCTCAGTTGCAAGCTCAGTTGTCATGTTAGTGGAGACTCATACCCAGTCGCTAAGTGGGTATGTACAATAAAAATAATAAGGGGCCTAAAATGGTCATCTGGGGCACACCACTCGTGACAACAGGTCTTGAGGGAGGAGACGCGCAGTGCCTGGCAACCCCGCTGGCAACAAGGAAGATGTTTCGTTTGATTTAGTACACTTCGTTTGCCATATTTGACGTAAATATCGTTTTGTTACTGCTATTCCGCTGTCCAAGGATACCACTGATTCTCATTTGCTTTTTCCCGCCATTTTTTCCCACCGACTCGCACACAGTCGTCGTGTCTCGGGAAAAGAACCTTTTGTATTTTCATTGGACACGGAAATGATATTATAATTTTCATTGACAGTTACATGCCCATTCACATGCCCATTCACATATCAGTAGTCAGCTGTGACGGACAGTCACTCTTTTTATTACGGACCTGTTGTTTTACTCGATTTGTAAAGGAAATTTGTTCCTTTGGTCAGTGGTTTGGTTTACATTGCATTTCGTACGCCTCCCTCAGCGACTGATGGGTGTTTAATTAGGTGTTCCAACCCGTTCTCGAACAATTTACATCTTTAAAGGTAATGTGCTAACTTAGCGTTTTTATTTATTTATTTTTCTGCCAGTTCGTCGTTGAAAAGTTGCATTTGTTCCACTCGTACTTGCGTATTTCCTCTCTTGTAGTCTCGCCTGCGGTATCTGTTGTAGTGTGCATTGATCATTCACTGAATATAAGCTCTCGATGCGATCCTTCGACGATCCGCCATTTTAATTTGTTGTTGTTTACGTAAATGCGAGCTGATGGCTCAAATCTTATTGCTAGATTTTCGCTGCTTTCATCGATTCATCCATTCAATGATAAAACTTGTCCATAGAAACGTGTGCTGCGTGTACTGACCTCCTCTTTCCTGGCGTAAATGTGAATCATATCACCACATGGCCGGCCAATTTCTCGCGAATTTTGTGGGTGTTTGTGTATTTGTTTTTTTAAACTTGGACTTGTACAAGAACAGCCAAGCTCTTAAATAAAGAGCTAACCAGTAGTATACGGTGTGCGACAAACGGAGACCGCAGACTTGCAAACTCACAGGTAAACAAGGTAATAATGTTTAATTATTAAACATTATTGTGAAATGCTTTAACAGATTCCCTATCCCTAAACTAGACTTTTAGAAGACTTAACGTTTGGGGATAGGGAATCTGTTAAAACATTTCACAACAATGTTTACCTCATTCACCCGCCAGTCTGCAAGTCTGCAGTCTGCGTTTGTTGTACACCGCCAGTCGTATGGTTAAAAGTGTAGGATATTATGTTTTGTTTTCTTCTACAGTGTTCAGTGTCATCTGATTTTTAGGTGGATAACATTTGATACATAATTTTGCTATTTTTGTCCCTATTCATGGCACCCTGCTAGCAGAGCCTTTGCTTCACTTGCTGGATTTTGGTGCCCTCGGAAAAGATTGCGTGAATCATGTAAGCTCTTTTTTTAAGCACGTGTTGCTTGTTGCTGTGATACAGTTGCAAAACCAGGCTGGATATCCATGTGCTTGGGACAGTAGGCAGCAGCAACTTCAAAGGCTAGACATGATTTAAACAGAGCCTCCTTTTTTCCCTCATCAATCAAGAAGACAAATAAGGCTCTGCTCACAGGGTGTATTTTTGCCAATGCATCTAATCAATGTGATACCCCTGGGATAGAGGAAGGTCCCATGGGCTGAGGTGGAGACTTTAATCAGAAGAATTTGCTTGTTTAACAGCCTACTTTTTTTGTTCCATATTATAGCTGTCTCTGGTGTGAAAGTTGTCAGAAGGCTCTAAAGGTGTTTGTTTCAGAATAAGCTGATGTTTCGGCTAAAGATTAGCGGTATGTTAATTTCTGATGAACCTCTGTTAAGTCACCAGTAGTAATCCTTAATAGTGTAGTGGTAAGGAGATGTTGCATTGAGGCAAAGGTGCGGGATTCGAATCCTACAAAGCACCCTTTCTTTAGGTATCCACAATTAGTTTACACTTTGTGTAAGCTAGGCATTTAACACATTAATAAAGTCTTCATTTTTTTTGTTATCAAGCAGCAACTTGCCATTGCCCAAAGGGTGACTGCTTAATATTGGTTTTAACTCTGGGGGTGGGGGAGGGGAGTACTCCTTTATATCAACCATATCGGTATGTGCCACCCTAAAGGGTGTGGGTTTTGGGCCTACGGAGTATCTGGTCTGAAAACGGGTATACACTTTGCCCATTTTGGTCTGGAATTGGGTATGGCTTTCGAGGGATCTATGCGAATGTATGAACATATTTATCATTTCAGTTCCAAATGAGTAAGAACGACAAAGAAATATGCGAATTCGAAATATTTTGGAAGAATTTTTTTGTTTGCGCTCTAATCTAAGTAATGATGACATAATTTCAGCCTTAAGGCCAGGTCTGAAATCAGGTGTGGAAAACAACAGTTTTTGGTCTGAGATAGGGTCAGGATTTGGAAAACAGAGCAGCACACCCCCACCAAGAATTCCCAAGAGTATCCCGCAGGGTTTAACTGTACATCTGTGTTTGTTTGAGTGTTGCATAATGTTAGTGATAGTTTTGCTTCCATCTGCCATATTTAATGGAAGGGTAGTGTTTATTATTTGAGGTTATAGCATTTCATCCAAGAGTAAATACAGTTACTGTGTTTCTTCCACAGCCTTTGTAGAGCCTGACTGAGCCAATGAAATGCACATTATATCCATTTTCAATGAAAAGCCTTCACTAGACCAGTGAGCTGAAAAGTACGTTTTTTTTAATAATCGAACATATTTTATTGATAACAATGCTAACTATTAAAATCCTATTTACAACTAATTCAATTTAAAAAAACTATTTTGTCAAAACACTATTTACAATTCCTTTCGTTTAAAAAAAACCCACAGTTTTGATTAGAAAAAAATTCATTCAACTGCATTCTTATTAAGAAAATCACTAAAAAAGAGGAAAAGTAAATAAATGCAACAGAAAATCAAATTTTAGATAGTTCAATGTTAAAAATATAATTTATAGCTGCCTTTATGGATGGGTTTTGAATTGTAATTTATGTGATTTTTGCTTTTTTCCTTTTTAGTAACGTACAATATAATGTATACGAGTCATGGATAACTTGACTGGTAAGGTATAATTTAAAAACCATTATGTTCAAAGTTAAATGTTTGGATCATGTGCCTTATAGGGTTGGTTGACTCTTGGTCACCATATCGGCTGAGTGTCGGTTGACTGTCGATTGAGTACCGATCGAGTATATTGCAAATAATGTTTCAAGTACATGTATGCTGGAGGTGCAGTATGCATATTTAAAGTATGCATTGTTTAACTTGCTTTATACAGTCTTAATAATGCTTTATTTTTAATATTGAATTTATTACTTGAAGGGCTTTCATCTAATGCTCCAAGCTATCCATCATTTCCACTCAAAGAACAGTTGCTGAATGTGTTGGAATCTAAAGAGATTGATTTAAATGCTCTACTAAAGCTCCTTGGAGTAGAATTAAAAGCTTCTGAGCATCTCAAGACAGTCCATGAAGTAGTGAACTATTATGAAGAGGAAAATGGACAGCTTTCTCTACAAACATGGGAAACTATATTTCAAGGGCTTGGATATTCGGAAGACTTTCTCCGAGTCATTGCTCATTTCAATGAGCAACGTCGTTGTCATGGTAAAAAGAGTGCAGTGTAGTGTTTTGTTTAAAGTACAAGAAACTGAAACTCTTTACACATGTACACTTTAATACTTGCAGTTATATGTAGCTAGCAGGGTGCAGCATAGTGGTGGTTGAACTGTATTAACTTTTTTGTTATCATGAAGTGTCTGTGCTGTGAATTTCTTTTGCCTTTTAAACCCACTTTTTTTCATATTTAATACCTTAGTTATTAAGTTGCCAAATGCCACAGGGCACTACACTTGTAGTAGGGTAGCCTGTTTCCTGGATCCAGATTCATGTTATAGGGAGCAGCATGCCAGTCATTCTTATTTATAGTGGCAAGTGGTGCCATCTGAATGTCCAATTTAATAAATCAGGCTACTGCTAGCCTAGTCTCTGATCCCTGGCTTAATGTTCTGCTTGCATAAACAAATGAAAATAATAAAGGAATGCAGGCTAGGGTTTCAATACAGATTGGCACCGACAACTGATGAAACACATATTGGCAACTTTGATCAGAGAAGTCGACTACTTTTTCGCCTTAGTTGAGAAATTGATGGACTTGAATGTACTTTTTTACCTTCATTTTAAAAAAAATTATTGTGCGTTAAAATAATAATAATCATACATACTGCTTGGATTGTTACAGTCCCACCCCTAAACTGCACCACAATTATGTTTGGGGTTTGGGTAGTCACATGGTAACTGTGCCTGGACAGAGAGTGGGATATATCAAACCCCCTAGATGCTCCCCCCCCCCATCCCTCCCTCCGGGAATGAAACCCCTGGGAATGATAATATTATTACTTCAGTCATAATGCATGACTCGTGTACTAATTAGCATTAATACCAATCCATTATAATTTCTCTCCATTAAGTTAATTGGATATGTCAGTATTGTATTTAGTAAATAGACCCCTTCTGGTGGCTGGTATACCAGAGGATAATGCCCGCAGCTGAGAGATTGTCCTCTTCTCAGGCAAATGTGAAATTTTGAGGACAATCTTTCAGCCAAGGGCATTATCCTCCAATATACCAGCAAGCCAGAAGGGGTTTATTTATTCTATAATCCTCTGTTTAATCTTTAACATGTTGGGAGATCAGAGAAAGTTGTGACTAGTTCAAAATTTAGTGTAACTGGATTACACAAAACAAGTTTGTTTTTATGATATTTATTACTGCTTCCATTTGAAATTATGAAGAAAATAAAAACAGAAAAGAGACTCATTTTGCTCATTTTGTCATGCTTTTGTGCCACTGAAAAATTGCAGGGCAAATATCGATGTGAATGGAGTGTATTGCCTGATACCCGAAACGTGACCCAAAACAGCCAAATAAATCATGTGAAAATTAATCAGTGGATTATAAGTCAGTGTACTTTACATGCACCGACAGTTATACCAGGGTTTAGACTCTACAGATGTAGCAGTGATATACATGCATGCATACTCATTGTCCTAATATTAATTTTTTTAGTGAATGTAAAGTAATCAAATTGATTTTCTTGCTGTACAACGTACATGTAGGTCCTGCTGAATTAGCCATGGCCAATCTGCAGACCGGCACAGAGAGAAAAAATGATGAGTCAGGGGCGTCGAGTACTGGTGAGTAGTCTGTTGCTCATTACTTTAGGTGTAAAAACTTGCATTACTCTTTATTGGGCTGGCTGTGGCACCCAATCTAAAAATGAGTCACCTCATCTGTGCAGCAATAAGACAAAATGGCAGAGGGATGCTTTCTCTCCCAAAATGTGAAGGCAAATTGAGCCTGTCATGTTTTATAAGCGTAGAATGGGTTGTTCCAGAAAAAATCCACACCCCCCCGACGGATGGGATTCTGGAAATTCTCGCGGGAGGGGGGGTCGAAGACTCCGGAAATCCAGGCGGGAGGGGGGGTTGACCTTAAAAAAGTCTTCTGCAGGGGTCATTTCGACCGATAGTTGATTCAAATCAAACGTTTAGTTCGATGACACTTAAGCGCTTTCAGACCCTGAAAATAGTCAAAATGTTTTGTTCATATATTTCTCACCTGACATAAATGATAATCTAAGTTGCTTTACAGGTCCTTTTATAGCAGAAAACGCGAACAAGATACTAAAGAACGGGCCTGAAGGAACTCGTCATAACGTTGTTGTCACGAAGAGCGTCAAACGCCTGACACATTTCTACTGTACCCAGAGCCAGCCTTGAAGAGCGAAGAGTGATTTTTATAAGCTAAGAAATTATGTAAACACTCGTTCAGGTGTCGTTCGCATTTTTGTTTTTTGCTCCTTTCGTTTTTAGTTCCACGCGATAGAATTCTTAGTTTAATATAAGCTGAAGCTTTAGAAATTAAAACAAAAACATTTAGACGTGTTTGCGTGTATTTTCCATTAAAAATAAATTAAATTTAAGCCTTTTATTTTTTCCCGGAAATCCAGGCGGGAGGGGGGTCTTCCACCTTGGAAATCCAGTTGGGAGGGGGGGTCTTGTGCTTCAGGAAATCCAGGTGAGAGGGGGGGTTAAAAAAGGACCCCATCCGTCGGGGGGGTGTGGATTTTTTCTGGAATAACCCAATGACAAAAAGTTTTGGAATTTCCAGTTAGATCAAACTAGTCACGTTATGCTGTCATGCTATATTACAGAGGGATTGGGGGAATGGGGTGCATTGTTGAAATGTCACAGTTAAAAAATTAATACGGCCAATCTTTTCTCATTTCAAAAGGCAAACTTGCCTATTTTTATTCATAATTATTAGAGTAGAAGTTACTACAGCCCCAACTTAAAAACGGTACCCACCTATTTTGTTAGTCCTATCTTTGAGCCTAAAAATAGGGAAAAAATGCATCACATAGTTAGCCTTTTGGCAGAATTAAGCTCCCCTTTTACTGAAAAGGTTAAACCTGTTTGGCTTTTGAGGGGAGGGGACCACTCATTATAGAAAATATACAAACAGATTTGGAACAAAAATAAAATTTTGGTGGAAACTTATTAGCCCTAGCTAAACTTCATAGTCATTCATAGTTGGGTTTATACCTCTGATTTTTATTGTGGGGGACCATCAAATTAAATTGCACAAGTTGCTATGCAGAACATATTTGGTTGACTAATATCTTGCAAACTTGCAACAAAAACACCATTCTTGCATGGAGTTTATATTAGTCACTACTCATGACTGTTCGTTAGCCATTGTTTCCAGACTCTAAAACAATGACCAGACTGGTAATTTACACTCATATCGGTCCCAGGACTGATTTAACCTTGACGATCGTACAACTTCAAATGATGGTACATGTATCCCTATCCCTTTCCATAGAATAGGAGTACCTATACACTCAGTTCGGAAAATAGTATAATAATATTATAATTTGTACTTCCTAAAATATGAAACCACGGCATTGCTCAGTTGACAGCCCAATGTACCCCGATTATGGGGTCTTGTTTATGTTGTCATCTAATGGCATTTATGTACATGTACACTCTACCATGTATTATTAATGTACCTCACCAATTAACTCAGCAGTTATATTCAATCATTTCATGCCATCTCTTGTTCAAATTGATTTTGCGTTTACATAGTTTTATATAATATTTCTTGGTTGATGTACTGTATTTTTATAGACAGAGGAAATTAAAATGGTAAATACACTGTATTCTAGTTTTGGAATAATTGAATTATTTATTTTCTGTCACAGTTGTATTTATGTACATTAAAAATATTGGTTTACTTATTAATGAGCCAAAAGCACATTCTGGTTCAAGCACATTGAACTATGTGCTCATGAGCAAATTATAGTAATGTCTTTTTGTGTGTTGCTGTTAATGTTGAAGTGAATAGAAACATAACTAATAGGAAATGTGGCATGGATTTTTTATTTTGAGTTCATGCTTGCCGGCACACAATTCTGAACTGATTCATTTGTATTTATTGTTCATTTAATCTGTTACTCTTTCCCAGATTATGTGTCTCCTAAGGAAACAAAAACTGAAAAAGGTGGTGTGCATCATTATCAGCACTTAGTGGCAATGGCAGCAGAATTGTCTGATCAACTTGCAATTGTTGTTAATGAACTAGACAATAGCGCACTTGACACTGCAGCAGCAGCTGTAAAAGTGACAGAGGGATCCTTGTCTCCACCAGTTACACAAATGTCTTCATCTAGAGAGCAGCCTTCATGGGGTTTGCCTGTTTTTTCTCCTGAAGATACATGTATGCATTCAGAAGACCAGTCAACAAACTTTTCCAGTCAAAGCTCTACAAGAGCCGCAGGGGCTGAAGTAGACGACAGCGGTTTTTTCTCAGTTCTAAACAGTGATGACAGTGTCATGTTGTCAGGTGATAATGATGCTTCATCTTCATCATCATCATCACTGAACAGCATTATCAAAACAGCTGAATGCTCAACATCATCTCAAACTGGTGCACCCATGGTGTGCCATGAAAGACCAGTGTCAGAAGCCATTGCACCGGCAGCATTGCAAACCAGTGAACCTCTGAGCATCTCAAGCCAGTGTGCGTCGTTTACCACCAGTGTCTCAAACCAGTCAAATGAAATGGTTGATAGCCAGTCACAGTCATTTGACAGCATCTGCAGTGAAACAGACCAGCAACAGAATGAAACATCTGAAACTGAAGAAGGTTACAATGCAGGTTCATCTTTCTCAATAACGTCTGGCCCATCTATTCCCAATCATGGGTCAGAAGCTTCTTCAAGAACAGCAGCTACATTTAATACAGCAGCAGGTTTTCCTCCAGCTGGACATTGCAATGGACAGAATTATGATGCTTCGGGAAATGTTAGTCTTGTTGAAGAACTGCAAAAGGTAAATTTTATTTGCTAATGAGTCTTTTATAATAATGGTATAATTGCATGTGGTTTTTGGTGATTTAACCATTTTTGAGGCACTTCTAATATGCCATGGATTTTTTTGTTTCATCTCTAGAAAATTGAGGAGCTTCATGCAAATGTTATTTTCCGAGTGGAGGTAAATCCACTTAATTATGACTTAACTATTTTAATGCTCATATCTATTGTAGTATTTTTAACAGGAATACCCTATTGTGTTGAATCACTCCTAGTATTTATGCCTATATGCAAAACTTGCTATTACAATTAGCTATACTGTTTTACTGGTACCTTATTTTATCGAAAAAGGTCCCGTGGAGTTCAAATTATGCTGGCTTCTTTTTAACTTAATGTACTGTGTTATCAACTACCGATCTTTGTTTCAACAAAGCCTCTTGTGTTAAATCTTTTTTGTTTTAATTATTTGTTATTTGGTAAATTTGAAGGATTGATGATGATGATTTTTGTTATAATTTTATATTTTTAATTGATAATTTAGAGGTTACAGAACCAGATGTTAATTTGTCAACATGTTCAAGATCGAAACAGCCGTTTGCAGCAGGCATTGTTGGTAAGTCAGCGAGATCTCTTGGCTATTAAAATTTCCAATCTCTGCAATCTATTTTCCAGCAAATTCACTGTTAGAAGCACTAGTACAATTTAAACCAATAAGGTGTTTATGGTTGTTACACAATGTAGAACATGTAGCACTAACATTAAAGAGGCACTTACCGTCCAGTGTAGTGGAAGATCCCGGGAGCCTGGGGACCTGGACCCTCCTTTGCCCAAAGCTCCAAGGCCTGAAAAATTTCCAGTGCGGTGAGTTTATTGGAGTGAGTTACTTCAAATTGTGTAATGTGAGTGTGAAGAAGTGAGACCTTATACAGTGTTGAGATAAAATTCAGAAAAGGGAGACCATTATAATAAATGCCAACTCTGCTGAATCCATTAGGACAGAGGGTTTATTTAGTAGTAACTGACCTGAGAAGTGCTTGGAAACTGAAGATTATTGTGTATATCTTTCAACTGGTATTTCATCCATCACAATTAAAGCTACAGGGACTTTCATGGTCTCTTGACCTTAACCAGCCTTTATTTATAAAGTTCCACACCGTTCCTTTTCTGCCTTCTAACTCTCATGTTAATGTGACGAGAGGAAGGCAGTGTAAGTCAAAACTTCACCTTATTTTTCAAAACAAATAAATGTTATGATATCTCGGGAACAGTGCATCTACCATTCATCAGTGTATTATGGAAGCTTATTTATAACTGACGGTGTAAATGTTAAAACAAATACATTGGGTGAATGAGCCAAGTTTTGTTAGACAATTGATTGCAAATATTTGAATTCAAATTTAGATTGTTTTGAGTGGGAAGCCTACCTTGGCTTTAAGTGTTTTTTGAAGATATACAGCATCTACAATCAAAACATCAGTGTCCGTTTTGTCAGGCTGAAAGACACCCCCTTAGTTGTGCTTCTATAGCTAGCTATGCACATGCAGAACTTTCAGTTTGTAAAGTTACCTTTCAGTACACAAAACTGTATTGCGACAATACATTTTAACTGCAAAA